TCTTCCAGTATTTCCTGAGAAATAATATTTGGGAGAAAAAATTTTATTATGTCTAAATTCATTAACTTAAGCAATTTTTCAATGTGCATATTAAAGATTATCTTCTTCGGGTCATTTTAATGTGTTAGTGAAGGGGTAGCATTTGTAGATATCTGATCTAGGGCATCATTAACACATGTCTAAAGCCTGGAAGGGACAGTGCAAATTACCGAATTGTGGCAATAGCATATAACTTAAGACTAAAATAAAGTTGTAAAATAAATCACTTATTCAGGAAATAGATGACAAATTACATCAAAATTTAACATCATTCATTGTCATGTTTCTTTCATTATTATATTTCATTGTATAACAATTAGTTGCATACCTATTGTTTTCATGGTATTATACAAATATTGGGGATACAAAATAAAATAGATATGATCCTATGCTAGGGGCATCTGCAATCTATGGAGAAATGGTGACATTAAGTAAGTCATTTCAAATAAAAAAGAATGTTTGAAAACAAATATAGGATGAGGCAGAGTACGGGGATCGAACAGTAGTGCTGATGGCAAAGACCTCCCTAGTTCATGTATTTCCTTTATTCAACAAATATTTCCTGAAGGCCCACTCCATGCCCGTCACTGTTTTAGTCACCTGGGAAATATCAGTGAACAAAACAGGGCAAAATCCTTGTTCTCTTGTGGGATTTCCTCTACCAAAAGAGACAGTCAATAATAGACCCAATAAGTGGATTATTTAATATTTTACAATAGGTAAGTGCTATGGGAAAAGGAAAAAGTAGATTAGAGTGAGTAATATTGGGAGTGAGAGGTAAAAGACAGGCTTGCCATTTATATAGTGTATCAGGAAGAATGTCATTGATTTTCATCCTGTGAGTAGTTTAAGGTAAAACTGGGCCAAGGAAAAAAATTTCAGGACAATGAGAAAAATATTAAACTGAATTGTTAAGAAAAGGTGAGAATTTCTCTTTATTTTTGAAGAGCCATTCAAAAGCACAGCCTAAAAATAAATAAATAAATAAATAAATAAATAAATAAATAAATAATAATCGAGAAGACAATCAGCCTTCAGTGCTGTTCTTTGGCTGGTAGCTCTGAGAGAGATAATACTGCCCTACTCGCCCAGACAAGAGCCATTTGGTGGGTGCCAAGGAAGAAAGAAATCTTGTACAAGTATCCACCTTGAACCAGAAACCCTTGATGCAATTTTCTTCTTCAAATAAAAATAAAGATCTGTAGTTCCTATACTGACATAACTGCAAGCCAGGAAACTCCTGGGTCGGAACAGGATGCAAAGCAGGAGGCTTCAGCGGAGTCAGCCTCTTAAACCCGAAACAGCCAACCCAGATATCCCTCATGTGACGTTTCCTTCACAGCTATATAGCCTACAGCGACATTTCCAAAACAGGCTTCACATTTTGCATTCACTCATATAACAAATAAGTCCTGGGGATGTAGTGTACAGTGTGGTGACTATAGTTAATAACACCCTATTGAATATTTGAAAGTTGCTAAGAGAGTAGACCTTAGATGTTCTCATCACAAGAAAAAAAAATGTAACTATGTGCGGTGATGGATGTTAACTGGACTTACTGTGCTGATCATTTCGCAGTATATACAAATATCAAATCATTAGGTTGTACACCTGAAACTACTATAATGTTATATGTCACTTACATCTCAGGTTTTTTTAAAAAGATATATTCTTAAAGAAAGTGCCTATAAATTCAACCTTTTGGTCGTAAAGGCGGTGGAGAAGTGGAAATTGTGCTTTGCTTTTATCTGAAGTGTAACACCTATAACTGTGAACATTAAAAAATGCATCAATTCCCATAAGTCTAGAGTCTTTTTTAAAAAAGGTCCTGGTGATTTTCTTAAACCATACTATCATTTTACTGAGGAAACTGAGCTCACAAGACAGAGTATATGAAATAGTTCCTTGTCTCTGCCAACTGATTAACACTTTTAAGGGGAGAATTTTGAAGCTTTGAAGGAATTCAAAGTGCTAGAAGCAGTTGCACTCCCTACCTCCAGGGGGCATGGCTCCTTCTAGAGGTTTGCAGTGCAGAGTCTGGGCAGAAGTACTCAATGGTCCTTCCCGAATGGTCCTTTACTTATTAGTCTTGAGTTAGGTTAAAAGAATGCACCCAGTTCCACTACAGATTTTAAAATGAAGTGATTTGGCTTCATTCTTTCTGAAGTTAGTTCAGTGCAAAGTTAGACTG